CCCCCCCCCTTTTTTTTTTTTGGTAAATTTTGCACCCAGAATTACGATACAAAATACTCCCTTATTGGCTGAGGATGTTATTTAGTGGTGGCAAACCTGCTTAGCCTTTACAAGGCCCTGGGTTCAGTCCAAGCACCAGAAAAACAAAAACGCAACAGTTCCTTTTGAAAATAACATAGACCTTTATCCTCAGATTATTTAAAATGTGATTTCTGAAAGTAAGAATAGAACAAATCAGTATTAGAACTACAAGAATTCAGAGTAAAGGAAAGACCAGTATGGGCTTATGGCTAGGTAGAGGTATCATAGAAGAGATAGAATGATACTTTGTAAAATTACTTGGAAAAATAAAATAAAATAAAGTTACTTGGTAGCCAAGTGTGGTGGTGCACACATGTAATCCCAGCACTCTAGAAGGCTGAGGCAGAAGGATTGCAATTTTGAACCCACCCTAGGCAATTTAGCAATTTAGCAGACCCTGTCTCAGAAAGAGCTAAGGCCCTGCATTCAATCCCAGCACCACAAAACAAACTTAACGGTACTCTCTTTCTCAAAGCTATAGTCAGGTTGGTGTTCAGGTTTTTGTTTAGCAGTTTAACATCCTACCTTTAATACTTTATTTAGGAATATACAGGCAAGATTTGAAAGTAAAATAGAATCGGCTGTGAACTAGACTCCATAAACTAGCCTAAAAGGTGGTTAATTTCTAGAATTAAGGATCAGAGGAGATCTGAGGAGTGGGGTAGAATGTGGCTAGAAGATGTAATGGGCAGTTTCTTCTCTGAGCCATTTGTTGTTTGTTTGTTTATTTAAGGCAGGGTCCTGCTATGTAATTCAGCCTGTCTCTGAACTCACTACGTAACCCAGATGACTTCAAATTCATGGCAGTCTTCCTGTATCAGCCTCCCTAGTGCTGGAATCACAAGCATGCGCCGCCATGCCCAGCTCTTCTCTGAGTCTTTTCTGTGGGTCACTTTCCAAGGCTCAGTTACTAGTGGTAAACTGAACTTGAAAGTATTAAATGGAAAATCATAGAAAAGAAATCATAAATTTTAAATTGGGCTGAATTCTAAGTAGTATGGTGAAATCTTGAGCTGTCCTGTTCCTTCCCGCTTAGGATACGAATCTTCCCTCTGTCCAACCCTCTGCCACTGAGCTAAGATACCCACATATTAGTTAGTAGCCAGCTGGGATATCAGATCAGCTGCCAATGTCTCACGGTGCAAGTAAGCCTTACCTAGTGGCCTAATGACACGGCACGGTGCTTACGTCTTCCCCTCACTTCACATAGGCACCGTGTCACCTTCTATCATCGCAAGAAGAGAGGTAAGGACAGCGCAATAAGATATTTTCAGAGAGAGACCATCTTCACGTAACTCTTATTATATTGACCTAATAGTATGTATTGTTTTTAATCCTACTATATCTAATTTATAAATTAAAATTTCCTATAGGTATGTAAGTATAAGAGAAAAAATGCATATATATGGTTCAGGACTAGCCACAATTTCAGACATCTCCTGGAAGTCTTGGAATACATCCTCTGCAGATAAGAGCGGCTGTATTCTCTCTGTGTTCTCTTTTGACAAGTGCCTAGTCCCTGGGCAGGATTTACTTTGCACTCATCCCCAGGTACTTCTGACTGTGGAACAATATAAATGGAAGCTTTTCCTGTCTTTGCAGGTGAAACCAGTGGGAACGAGAGTGATGGCGAGTATCTGCCAAAGAGTAAGTGAGTCAGTGGGGCTGCTCCCTTTCTCGTGATGTTCCTGGTGCTGGGTGGAGTGGCGCCTGCCATTGTGATTAAGCCTGTTTTTCCCCCACAAGAAGTTTCATTTTGTAGGTCATTTCTTCATTTTCTGAACCTGTTGAGATCTGGGATACTAAATAGTACGCCAGTGCTTGTTTGACAGAATTTACAGTCTAGTGGATGGGGGCCGACTGGTATGGTTCTTAGGATGGAATGTTGTGCAGCACGGAGCTGCATGTCCAGATGTGCCCTGGGGCAGCCTGACAGCATGGGAACTGCCCTCTGAGACAAATACTTACCATCGAATATCTGATTTTTCATAGTAACTCAAGTATAATTATTAAGACTTTGATATCTTTGGTTTTGAAAAAGGAGACATTTAGGAAAGAAAGAAAAGAAAAAATAAACATTTAGGAACTGGGTATGTAGCTCAGTGGTAGAGTGATTGCCTACCAAGTGCAAAGCCCTAAGTTTGACCCCCAGCCCTGGGAAAAAAAAAAAGTCAGAGGAGAAAGGAAATGTTACCTATTTATATTCCAGGCAGTTATATTCCAGTGTATTGTGCTTTCCACTCTGTTAGAATATGCATTTCTGGCTCTGCATCTCCAGGCCCTTCACGGTGATCTGTATCTTCATTAGTGAATTGTCACAGGAGGTTACACTTTCTGTTTTAATCCCTGACCTATTCATGTGTAGAAGAGTAGGAGACATGAATTGTCAGTGCTGAGTCCAGGAAGTTCCAAATCTGATACTCTGTAATCTTAGATTAATAGTCTTGTGCTTCCTCCACTGGCTTCAGATGTTTAATTCAGAAGCCTGACTGAAGATGAAATTTAAAGCACCATCAGGTTTAGCCTTGATGTGTGCGGGTGACTAATTTAGTGCTGTTGCTAATCAGAAACAGGACCTAAAATTGTCCTCACTTGAGCTTAGCCCTTTAGGGTAACTGAAGCTTTGCCTGGAGCACTAAATGTCCTGGATAATTCTAGGGAGCCATTCCTCATTGTATTTTTAAAGTATTTTTAGTATTTTGATCCATAATTAAATTGTTTTGAGGAAGAATGCATCACATCCCATAAAGAAAAGAACAGAAGATGAGTCTTTTGGTGACTCAGATTGACACATAAGCAAATCTCTGAAACAGTTCCCTGGTAAAGAATACTCCAAATTGTTTGGAATTTAGAAATAAATAAGAATAGCAGATAGATGCTGTCCCATTTGGGGAGGTATTGCATGTATTGTTTAAATAGCATGTTTCCATGGTTTTATTCTTTTAAGTAATAGTCTGTTAATAGATACCTTCTTCCACTTCACTTCCCCTATGAGTTTAGAAAGTATATTGATATAAGCATATATCCAATTTTAGTAAAATTTGCCCAGGAGAGAAAGGAAAAGGACAGTGTGAAGATAGTTTTTGCTTTAATTTTATCAAACCCATCCCTTCTCTAGAGACTCAGTTCGTTTTTCAAATTCTGACCTCCCCCATGATTTTATGGCATTCCCAGAAGAGGTATCTGTTGTCATTCCAGTGCATTTTGCAGAGCTTTTCATGTGTCCTGCTGTGCTCCATGAAAGATGGGATGGCATACATAGTGTATCACTTGGGACCTAGAACCCTGATACCACGGTGGTTGGGGGAGGATTGAGTCTGGGCATTTGTAGGATCTGCACTTGCCTCTGAGTGCATCATAGCCCAAACACGGAAGCGTGTGAGGTAGATATTGTTAGTCACTGTTCATTCAGCAGTGACTGTGTGAAGATGACTCTCGTCTGGGTCATGACCTCTAGGGCTCAAGGAAGACAGTACGACAGGGAAAACCTTTCTCTGTGACTTCATTCCAGATCGCCACAAGCGCTTAGCGCAACTGCAGCAGCCTTCCAAGAGGAATCCTCACTACCAGACCTTGGAGCGGGACCTTATTGAACTGCAAGAGCAGCAGTTGTTTGAACTTTTTGTGGTGGTTTCTCTGCAGAAGCAGCCATCAGGAATAAGCTACACTCCCCAGGTCATACAGCAGTTCCCTAGCAAGGTAGGCTCAAGGAGGCCAACAGGAATTCAAGAAGGTTCCTGTATGCTTTGTGTGTTCATTGCTCCTCTTTTTATTTATTGTTATCTCAGCAAACTGACCTATGCTCTACTTGTAGGATCTGGTTTGTGACTTTGATGACATCTTATATTAGACATAAGCTGCCCCAAAATGGAGCGAGGGGAAGAGCAAGCTCATTCCTCCACTGTGTTTTATAGATTGGGCTATAGTAGTTAATAATCTTTACAAAGTCTGAATTTTCTCATCCTAGATAAAAAATAAATGTGGTAGAGTAAGGTAGTGGTTTATATCATGGACTCTAAAACAGCGCTCTGCACTTGCCACTTACTAGCATTGTGACTTTGAGCAGTTACTTAACCTTTCTGTGTCTTTCTTTCTTCGTTTGTATAATGGGGTAATCATAATAGTATCTATTTCTTTGAACTGTAGTAAGGTTGATATAGGCTAAATGTATGTAAGGCACAAAACAAGGTCTGGCATTGTGTGATGATATCCATTATTGTAAGGATTTAATGAGATAATATATGTAAAGTGCCTAATGCAGTTTCCTGACACAGTGTTATGCACTTGATAAATGGTAGCTATTATTATTATTAACACTGTTACTTTGCTCTACCTTTTTCAGAAACTCATTCATTTAAGCAAATATTAAAATGCCAACTGTTTGCAGGGATTAGATGATAGGAGTACAACTGAAAAAAGATTTTCTTCTTTTTGTTTATTCATTTGTTTGTTTTTGATACAGTCTTGCTATATAGCTCAGGCTGGCCTTGCATTTACTATGTAGCTCAGGCTGGCCCGTTCCTCTTGCCTTAGCGTCCCTGATGCTGGAATTATAGGCATGTATCACTATGCCCAGCAAAAAAGATTTTCTTAAACTCTCACTGACCTTTTTCACTGTCTGAGCAAATTCAGCCCACCAACATGTAGGGTTTCTTTTCCTTATTTTGTTTAGACATTGTTTTATAAAAAATAATGTCAATAATTATTGTTTTAAAGTCTTAATTTAGGGTGGGGATGTAGTTCACCTGTGTAGTGCCTGCTTGGCAGGTGAGAGGCCCAGTACCAAAAAATGTCTTAATTTCAGGAGCTGGGAATATAGCTCACATGCAAGGTCATGGGTTGGTTCTCCAACACTGCCAAAATACAAATCAAATTTCACACACCATCCTTTTCCTGAGAAACTGGAAAGACTACCAACACTTAGGTCACATTCCTGAGTATCAGGAATTCAGCAGTGCTGAGTAAAGATCAGGACTTCAAGGGCCATTGCAGTTGTAGCACTAAGAAGGGCCCTATGCTTGGGGTTTAATGCTTTGTGGTCACCATCTTGAAATGCTTAATAATTTTATGTTTGAGTTTGTGTTTTATAATTGAAGTCCTATGGGACAATTGGGCTTCTATCAAGTTGCAGTTCATGCATAGTCTCACATCCTGCGGCCCCACTGGGATGGGTTTACTAGTTTTCATGGTTCCCTTGGCCCTGTCTGGCTTCCTTTTCATCCCCCAGAGTGCCTTCTGCCGCTTTCTGTCCCTGGCAGGGACTTGAGCTCAAGCAAGCACTGCCCCAAGTGTCTCCAGGCAGGGCAAGGGGACACCCTCCCTGCTCTGACTGGTGCTGCTCTGGGTGTCTAGTGGATGACATGGTGGAGGACAGGCTTCCCACCACCACCAAGCCAAGGACTGAGCAAATCCCCGTTTGACCCTGTAACCCAGGAGGTTGCCAAATTGCTGTAGGTTAAAATGATGGCCTGTGGCAAGGGGAGGTACCAGGCTTAACTTCCACATCTCCATTCAGCCTGCAGATCTGTTGCTGGCCAGAGGGGAAACAGAGTAGCTGGTGGTCACAAGTGTACCAAATTGGAGGCTCAGGCCTCTGGTAAGGCGGTACTTTTCAGCCAGGGTCCTTAAGCACAAAGGAGAGTGGCATTAAAAACCCACTATAGCTTGAAAGTCCACAGAAGAAGGAAAACGTTTTATATTTTATTTTTATATTTCATTTTTCAAACAAGGGCCCTCACATTTTCATTTTGTGCTATGTTTGGAAAATTATATGGCTGGCCCTGGTAAGGCATGATCCCTTTAAGTAGGAGCATTTACTCACTTTTCAGCTTATTATTTGCACTGCTTCTCACTTGGGTTACCTCCGCAACCATTGTAGGACTTTTTATTTATAATCCTGTTACATGTTTCACTAAAAAGTTAATGAAATACAACTGTACTGTAATCTAAAAGACACTTTCTGCATGAATTCTCATTTTTTCTGTGTCGTCAACATTTCTCAGTAAATAAATATACAAATTTAATTTCTCATGAAATTCTCAGTGTAGCTGAAAGTACAGTGTTACAGCATTGTTTGATAAAAGGAGCTTGTTTTGTAAGAGGAGCTTAATTTTTTACCTGGTTTTGATTAATTTTACAATTGGAGAAGGGAAAGCTAATCTTGAATTAATGAGCTCACAACCATGTAGGGACACAGCTGAGAGGTGGTGATTCAGAGATGTTTCTAAGTATACTACTTACCATCTTTGTGTCTCAGGCATCCATCAGTTGGATGGGGGGGTGATCCTGATTGAGCCTCTTGGCTGCTATTGTAGAAAACCTTCAATGAAGATGATTGTGAATCATTTAATAACATAAAAATTATAGACTGTGGGCTGGGCATGGTGGCACATACTTGTAATCCCAGCACTCAGGAGGCTGAGGCAGGAGGAATGCCTTGAGTTTGAGGCCAATCTGAACTACATAGTGAGACCCCGTCTCAAAAAATATATAGAGAGACAGTGTTACCACTAAAATTGTGTCAGATGCTCTTCCTTGGTGGGACATTCTGGAGATCAAACCCAGGGCCTCACCTGTGCTGGCCTAGCAGTCTTCCACTGAGCCACACCCCCAGCCCTGATACTACTTCTCTAGGGTTTTAATTCTTTTTTTTTTTTTTGGTGGTACCGGGGGTCAAACTCGGGTCCTTGCGCTTGTGAGGCAGGCCACCGAACCGCTGAGCTAAATCCCCAGCCCCTCTAGGGTTTTAATTCTTTTTTTTTTTTGGTGGTACCGGGGGTCAAACTCGGGTCCTTGCGCTTGTGAGGCAGGCCACCGAACCGCTGAGCTAAATCCCCAGCCCCTCTAGGGTTTTAATTCTTTTTTTTTTTTGGTGGTACCGGGGGTCAAACTCGGGTCCTTGCGCTTGTGAGGCAGGCCACCGAACCGCTGAGCTAAATCCCCAGCCCCTCTAGGGTTTTAATTCTTTTTTTTTTTTGGTGGTACCGGGGGTCAAACTCGGGTCCTTGCGCTTGTGAGGCAGGCCACCGAACCGCTGAGCTAAATCCCCAGCCCCTCTAGGGTTTTAATTCTTTTTTTTTTTTGGTGGTACCGGGGGTCAAACTCGGGTCCTTGCGCTTGTGAGGCAGGCCACCGAACCGCTGAGCTAAATCCCCAGCCCCTCTAGGGTTTTAATTCTTTTTTTTTTTTGGTGGTACCGGGGGTCAAACTCGGGTCCTTGCGCTTGTGAGGCAGGCCACCGAACCGCTGAGCTAAATCCCCAGCCCCTCTAGGGTTTTAATTCTTTTTTTTTTTTGGTGGTACCGGGGGTCAAACTCGGGTCCTTGCGCTTGTGAGGCAGGCCACCGAACCGCTGAGCTAAATCCCCAGCCCCTCTAGGGTTTTAATTCTTTTTTTTTTTTGGTGGTACCGGGGGTCAAACTCGGGTCCTTGCGCTTGTGAGGCAGGCCACCGAACCGCTGAGCTAAATCCCCAGCCCCTCTAGGGTTTTAATTCTTTTTTTTTTTTTTGGTGGTACCGGGGGTCAAACTCGGGTCCTTGCGCTTGTGAGGCAGGCCACCGAACCGCTGAGCTAAATCCCCAGCCCCTCTAGGGTTTTAATTCTTATTCTTATTAGTATATGTTTGTAGTTCCTAGAGATACATTCATCACGGGAAGTTGGTACATGTACATAATACATTTTAATTCTTTCTGCATCCCTTTCCCCTTCTCCCTCTTTCTTCCCATCCCTTGGAGCTTTTCTGGTTTTTTTTAAGAGCTTAATATCCAAGTGACCCAGAATGGCTACATTTTTATTTCAGAAAGTAAACGATAGATCATTCTATAATGATCTGAAAGCAATATGATAATTAATGTGTTTGTCTTTATACAGGACAGGTTATACTAATTTCTGAATGTCTTGGTTCAACTAAATTTAGACTGTCTTTTAATACCACACTTACACAAGAGTCTTCCATACTAAAAAATTTACAGGAAGTTGCAAACTAGTAATTAGGTAGCAAAGATTGTATGCTAAGGGAAATGATTATATGCGGGGTGAATTCTAAAAATAGTGTCTTTTCTAAATAACATTCATCTCCTTTTTCAAAGCATCCTTGATTATTGATCAGAGAATGTCTTGAGCTGGCGAAGTTTTTACTATCAGTAATATTAAAAAGATTTTTATTTAATTTATATCCCATAATTCATAAAATACTGGATTCCTGTGAGTGTGTGAATCCTGAATTAAGATGCTGCTTCTAGACGAGAGACTATTTTAAACCGTCTCCCTTACCTAGATTATAGTGTCTCCACGGGTCCCATTTCTATGTAAAAATAGATTTCCTTAGTTTCAATAGCTGTTCTTAGTACATTTTCCGTGATTTTTCAATCTTAGCCTTCCTGTTTTGCTAAACAATACAAAAGTTCAGAGATAATCTGCTTGGGCTTAGTATATACCCTTTATCCCAAGAGCAGGCTCAGCTTTTATTTTTATTCTCCACTTTCACGGAGTAATGTCAGCAGAGGTGTTATCTTTTTCAGGATGATCATGGCTATAAGCAATCAAAAGACACTGAAGAACGGCTCAAAGTTATCCCAAAATTTTGTTTTCCGGATTCAGAGGACTGGCAGCCAACCTCAGAACTCAAGAGGTAAGTGAGCTACTTTCTATTATTTCTACTTGTTGAAAAATATTACCAGAGCATTTGAGAAGTGAGTAGAGCCTGAATGAAGCTATGTGAACACTGGCAGATCAAGGGTGCAGTGGAAGGAAAGGAAGAAACAGAATTAGGACATTTCCTAAGTGGGGCTCAAAAAAGAAAAATAAAGGATAATTTTAGTGTCGACTTTGAGAGTCTCTTCAGCTTCCCAGTTCGATAGTTTTACTTTACATAAAATAAGAAATGGGTCAAACTGGACAGAAAAAGAAAAAAAGATTTGGACTTTGGGACTCTAGACCTAGAAACAGTTAAAACAGAGTAATGGCCTCCTCTTGTTTCTCCTTCAAGTTGGTAGAGGAAGCCACAGCCCAGATTGTGTGTTCCCCGATGGAGCTTGTGCAGAGCAAGGAGGTTCAGTTTGGGAGGTGTGAGTACATTGAGAAGGGAAGAGTTAAGGAATTTCTTTCATGGGCTGGGGGTTTAGCTGCCACCTGCTCTGTAAGCACAAGGTCCCGAGTTCAATCCCCAGTACCAAAAAAACAAAAAGAATTTCTATCATGTAATTAAAAACTACCATTTTTACTTAATAAAACATCACTATCTCTGAACTGCTTGTAAATAGGTAACTGCTTTATTCAAAACTGTGCTTGTAGCACCAGCAACTCCTGCGTCTGAGGCAGGAGAATCGCATGAGCTTGTGAGTTTGATACCGCCTGGGCAATGGCATGGCAAGACCCTGTCTCAAAACAACAAACAAACAAATAAAATCTACCTGTATTATTAAATGTCTTAAGCAGAAGAGCTTGATTGAGTGAGTTACATCACATGCTGATGACAGTTTCAGGTTGTCTGAGACGCTCTGCCCAGCCTCTGCACTGAGCTGCCTGCTGTTGTAACCGGTTTAGTCTCCTCACCTCTCCATCCCGGCCACCAGCACTGGTGTCCTCCTGCTATTGGTCCCACTGCTAACCACACAAGCAGCTACTTCATACTGGCCTGGCTACTCGTGCTGCTTTACTTCTGATATCAATGCTTTAGTCTAGAAATAGATGAGTAAATAAAAAGCAGAAACTAGACATTGTTGGTAATTTTGTTACTTAGAGATAATCAATGTAAGTATTTTGGCATATTCCCTTCCGTTCTTTATTTTTGGCCATATATAGATACATACAGGACTCATCATTCAGACTTATGTTTCTTTGATTATTAATGAGTTTTTTCCTTGGGTATCTTTGGATCTTCTTTTTGTAAATTATCTTTGTACATCTTTTGCCCATATTTCAAATGAAGAATTGATATTTTATTAATTTGGGGTTTTTTTTTTCTTTTTTTGAGACAAGGTCTTGTTATGTACCCCTGGCTGGCTTTGAACTTGTGGCAATACTGCCTCAGCCTCCTGAGTGCTGGTATTACAGGCATGTGCTACCACACCTGGCTTCCTATTTATTTATTTAGGTACCAGGGATTGAATTCAGGACCTTGTGCTTACGAGTCAAGTGGTGACACCACTGAGCTAAATCCCCAGCCCCCCTATTCATTTTTATATATTAAAGATAGTAACCTTTTTCTGTCACTACTGTATATGGTCTTTCAGAATTAAATAGAATTTGCAAAGGAACAATGTCATATCAATAGTTTACCTGCATGTTTGACTAAATCAGATACACAACAAAAGGAAAATAGAATTGATAGCTTGAGTAGATAAATAAGAAAGTAGGCTGGTCCAAGTTTAGTGTTGTTTACAACTAATTGATCACAACTAGTTACAGATTTCTTTGTTAAAAGAAAATAAAGTAAAAGAAGGCAACAGCTTATCCTATAGCAATTTGCTCACTCAGTAGAGAATAAGATAGTCTCAAGGCCTGGACATTCCTTTGGAGGAATGTGACAATTTATGCAATAAATGTCATATTATTGCCTCCCCTTTTGTCACAAAATGGCTGCTATTGAACCATATTTTCAGTTATTCCATGAGGAATGCCAAACATGGTTATCTGGATCTCAGAATAACTTGATTATGTTTTCAGTGAAACTTTCTCCTTCGTTTTGACTGGTGAAGATGGAAGCCGGTGGTTTGGTTACTGTAAGAAGCTCTTGGTAAGCACCAGACTTGTGCTACAGACTGAGTTGGTCAAGGGACAATAGAATCAAACTAGGAACTTCAGAATCACTATTTCTACATGAGTTTGGGGACTCTTAATGTCTAGTGTATTAGTTGTATATATCAAAAGAAAGGTGAAGTTTAGTCATGAATTGCTCCAGAATAGAAAGAATAGGGATTTATTTTATTTGGTTGTTTTCAATAGAGACATAGTGGCTGAATATCAGCATGAAAGTATTTGAAGAATGGAGTACAAGCCAATCAAGGGGGCACTGAAGTACTAACCATTTTAGGGCTTTCTTCTTGTGTAGGTGCCTCTACTACACCTGGAATCATGCTATCATGTTTAGTACCTTTCTCATCTTGCAATGTTCCTTGAGGACAAAGGCCTTAGATCCTGCTCTGTACTAAGGGAATCAGGTGCAGTGAATACTCTTGTAATCCCAGCTTCTTATGGCTTGTGTTCAGATTTCCCCCTAAGCCTCAGGCGCCTATAGGTGGGGCTCTTTCAGAGGTGACTGGATCTAAAGTGTGACACTGGGATTGATTTGCCATGTAGTGCTAGGTTCAAGGGCGCTAGGATTAAGGGTGTGAGTCCTACCCACCCTGAGTAGTCTGGATAAGATAAAAGGGGCAGACCTGTTAAAGCCCCTCTCTGCCATGTGCCACTCTGTCTTGAAGCCAGCCAGTCGTGGACGGAACCTCTACAAACTGAGCTAAATAAGCTTTTCATCCTTTAACTTTAGGTGTCAGATATTTTGTCTCAGCAGTGAGAGAAAAGTAACTAAGACACAGCTGCAGTGGATGCAGAGGCAGGAGCATTGCTAGAGCCCAGAAGTTCCAGATTAGCCAGGGTGACATAGTGAGATCTCATGTCAGAGAAAGAGAGAGGGAAAGAATACTATTAAGAATATTAATAGTCCAGATCACGAAAAAACTTGCTTGATTGTTGATATTTTCTTATAGCCAGAAGGCAAAGGAAAGCAACTCCCTGAGGTGTACTGCATGGTGAGTCGCCTAGGCTGCTTCAATCTGTTTTCAAAGGTGAGTGAAGTATTTTGAGTGAGAATGGGCTCTCCAAAAGGTGATGTTCTTTTCTGAGCTCTAAGGAAATTTTTGTTACTCAGGGTTCACTGGACAATAGACTTTAACATACTGCTTTGGAAAGGTTCCCTCTTGTTGGGTTAGAACCACAGCTAAACAGCTCTCCTATCCAGCCGCCATTGCTGCATCATGCTCATTTTGGCTTCCTAAAACTCCCGGTTTTAAAACAATACAACCCAAAGCTTATCTTGTCTCATGTTGTTCCTAGACTCCAAATTGCACCGACAAATAACATTACAATGTCAGTTTCAGATATGATGCTCTAATGAACATTTATTTATTTATGAGATAGGGTCTTGCTATGTAGTTCAGGATGGCCTTGAACCTACTACGTAGCCCAGGCTGGCCTTAAACACACTGTAATCCCCCTGCCTCAGCCTCCCGAGCACTGGGATTACAGGCATGCACCACCACACTCGGCTGAAAGTTACCTGTTTTAAATCCTATTGCTGTTATGTTCAGTGTGTACACCAAGTTTGGCAGTTTCTATAAAAGGATTCTTTTATGTTTTTGAACTGAGTCCACAATAAAATAACATGTTTGTGTGTGTAGATTCTGGATGAAGTAGAGAAGAGAAGAGAAATGTCTCCAGCCCTCGTTTGCCCATTCATGCGAAGTGTCATGGAGGCCCCTTTCCCAGCTCCTGGACGTACCATCACAGTCAAGAGCTACCTCCCTGGGGCTGGAGATGGGGTAACTTACTCATTTCAAAAGATTGGATAGCCATTACAAAGCAGGTCTTGTACCAGAAGTTGAACAGCATAGTTTCTTTCCCTCTCTCTATAAACTAGAAGTATTTTTTTCCAGAAAGCACTAAGGAAACATCTATAGTCAGTTGAACCGTGATCCAAGACTTATATAGATTAGGCTCTTCTGTACCAATAATTTCAGTGTGATAAGTGGTGATTATATATGATATTGTCAGATTCAATAAAGGATAGTACTAGTAAGTACAAAAAATAAGCTACAGCGTCTTGACATTCGTGTAAGCAGCTTCACAGTCTCCCTGTAACCTTACAGACTTTCTGTAGTAGACCTTTTTTGACTATAACTAGTAGAAGAATAAGAGGATCTGCTAGTGTTGACTTCAGAGTTGTTTTCCAACACCAGCTCCCCTGAATCAAATTTTTACATTTCAGTCCATTGAACTCTGCCGACCACTAGATTCACGATTGGAACATGTGGATTTTGAATGCCTTTTTAAGTGCCTGAGCGTGTGCCATCTCGTCCGGGTCTGCGCCTCTCTCCTTTTGGAGCGGAGGGTAATCTTTGTTGCCAACAGTCTAAGGTAAGAAAGAAATAAGTTAACTAGGGCCGAGGGTGTAACTCAGTGATAGAGTAGCCAGCTTGCACAAGGCCCTAGCAACACAAATAATAATATAAAAAATAAATAGGGCCCAAGATTTAGCTCAGTGGTGCTGCTACCTGCCTCGCAAGAGCAGTCTTGAGTTCAATCCCTGGTACCAAAAAAAAAAAAAAGTGAAATATGTTACTTCATACTGGTGTTTCACTTGTTCTTAGTATTTTAAAGTTCAGGTATATTTATAAAAATCCAGAATTAGTCTCTCATTACCTAATGGTATAGTGACATGAATAATTCCAAATGGTAACCGGTCATTTACATTAGGGTGTAGCAATTACTTTTTTGTATTTCATGGATTCTCTTTATAAATGCATTTTTACTTTGAACTGTTGTTAAAAATTGTTACCGCCGTCCAGGTGCAGTGGTTGGCACCTGTACTCCCAGCTACTTAGGAGGCTGAGGCAGGATGATTGCTTGAGCCCCGGTGGCGTTCAAGACCAGCCAGGGCAACATAGGAAGACACTATCTCCAAAAAATTGTTTTTGATTTTCTACATGCCTACTGATTTCTAGTCTGATAAATTGTGGGGAATCTGGGTTGAGATTAAATCTTTTCAGTTAAATGAAGTTAAAATTTTAAATAAAATGTTAAAAACTAATGAGTATTAATGGAGTTGTGAGTCTGTGGATAGGGACCAACACCAATATATAATTCTTTAATATCTAAACACCCTGGATGTGTCGCTCCGTATGTGACACCATCTGCTCTCTCCTGGCTAGCACACTGTCAAAATGTGGCCATGCCGTGGTCGCCACCCTGTACCCATTCACTTGGCAGCACACCTACATCCCGGTCCTGCCAGCGTCCATGATTGACATCGTGTGCTCACCCACTCCCTTCCTCATCGGAATCCTGTCTTGCTCCTTACCGCAGCTCCAGGACCTGCCCATTGAGGAGGTAAGAGGGAAGAAGTGGTGTCTATGGAAAAGAGTAAGAGCGCTGATAAATGAAATGAAGTGACCTTTAAGAGTGGTAGAATTTTATTAATTAACAAAATGACTTAATATGCTTCCATAATTTTGGTATCTTTTTAATAAGGTGAAAAAAATTCTGTAGCACACATAAACCCCAAGATGTCTTATAGGGGCCAGGGATTTAGCTCAGTGGTGCTGCCACCTGCCTCACAAGCACAAGTGAAAGGTCCTGAGTTCAATCCCCAGCACACACACAAAAAAACCTAACTAAAAGTTGTCTTATTTACCATAGTGAATAACAGATTCATTCTTGTGTTAATGTGAAAGGTAGGCTTTTGGGGAGCTTTTCTTAAAGTCAAACACAAAAATTACTCCAAGTTAACTTTTAAAATTGTTTCCAAAAAATTGTCAGCCAGGCGTGATGGCACATGCCTTATAATCTCAGGCACTTGGGAGAATCAGGCAGGAGGACCACACAAGTTCAAGCCCAGCCTGGGACACTTAGCAAGACCTTACCTCAAAATAGAAAAAACAGTTGCCTAGGCTTGCCATAACATTGAGTTCCTATTAACTCTCCTTCCCAAGTAGCTGGGATTACAGGAACACTCCACTGCATCCAGCTAAAGTTTTAGATTTTAGTGTGGTTAAAATTGTAAGGCTAGTGTTGTTTAAGGATTTTAATATTAATTTAATGAAGCTATTCTCCTACAATATCTTCTTAATTATTTTGCCTCTAACTTTTGGTTCTGAATCCACCTAGTACTTTATTTTTGTGTACAATGTGAGTTAGAGGTTCTTTGTTTCTTTGTTTCTTTCTCTTTTATGGTTGGCCACCTATAACCGGTACCACTTATTGAAAAGACCGTTCTTCCACCACTACTCTGCTGCAGTAACCTTACTTGTTGTTTTTGTTTTGATGGGTTAACTTTTAAACGAGCTACAACTTTGAGTTAATTTTATTCGAAACTCTTTCTATTGCCTGAAAGCCTCAGAACACCCATTCTGGCCTGGCAGGGCTCGAGGTATTTGTGAACGTCTCCAGTTGAACTTGCCTGGTTCCTTTATTCCACAGGTGCTGATAGTTGATCTCTGTGCTGACAAGTTCTTACAGGAGGTGAGTGACAAAGGAAGTACTTACATAATGTTTGGCTTTTATATTTCTCTGTAGATTCTTGAATGAAAAATATGTGAAAGTACTTAGAGAAGATGACTCAGGCAAGAATTTCAGTTCCTACCCATACTTGCATTGACGCTGTGGCCAATCATACAAGATTTTCCTGAAAAATTTTGGCTTGGTTAGTAGCTGTTCATCCCAAAGAAGGAAGAGGAAATAGAGTAAATGTCATCCTCAAAAGAAGTAATCATCCTTTCAACTCTAGATGAGTTAACACATAAGCCTCTAGTTTAATTAAAATTTAAAAGTATTAGCTGGGCATGGTGGTACACACATGTAATCCCAGCACTTGGGAGGCTGAGGTAGGAGGATCTCTGTGAGTCAAGGCCAACCTGGGCTACGACCAGCCTGTACTACCTACGCAGCAAGACCCTGTCCCTTCTCCCCTCACACCCCACCACACACACACACACACACACACACACACACACACACACACAAGCATTTATTGGACTGGGGATGTAACTTAGTGGGTAGAGCACTTGCTTGTCATGTGTGAGACCCTGGGTTTTATCCCCAGTACCACCAAAAAAAGGAGAAAAGAGACAGCATTCATACTGATTACTTCCAGATATATTCTATTAGGTAATCAGAATCTAAGATGAGTAAGACACAATTTGAGCACTCTTATAGTACTTGAGTATCTTGTAGACTCGAGGGATGGGCATATACATAGAAAGTTTTAGAATAGAAATTAAAATGCAATGGAATATGAGCAAAAAAGAAGCAGTCATTTCTCCTGGGTATTAAAGTAGAAAAGAAGTTAGTAAATCCTTCTCAGAGCATCCCTGATTATAAACTGTATATAGATTTGTAAGCCCTGAAATACAGTATGAAAAGAGTAAGAAACCAGAATTGGTGGCACTTGCCTGTAATCCTAGCAGTGGGTGGCTCAGGCAGGAGGACTGTGAGTTCAAAACCAGCCTGGGCTACATGGGGAGTTCAGGCCAGCCTGGAATAGCAAGACCCTGTCTCAAAAAACAAACTAAGGTTTGGGGATTTAGCTCAGTGGTTCTGCCACCTGCCTTGCAGGTACAGGACCCAAGTTTGATCCCCAGTACCCCCCTAAAAAAAAAACAAAACAAACAAAAAGCTGTGCGGGGTGGTGTTCACCTGTAATCCCAGCATTCTCAAGGCAGAGACAAGAGAATCGAGTTTGAGGCAAGCCTGAACTACAAAGCAAGACCCTGTCTCAAAAACAAACAAACAAAAAAAACCCCACAATAAATAAATAAAACATACAAAGGAAAGAAAGGGTAGAGAGAGCAAGAAAGAAAGTCAGATAGTTTGTTTCTTAGGACATTGTCTTCAAAATAAGCTAACTTGTTACATTTTTCCCCCCACCACATTTGAAATGCTATTTATTTGGGAATGATCTGGAACACATAGAATAAGATTTATTTCCAAGAGATTGCTAATAGAAAAGTGCCAGAAAACTTTATAAGGTACATTCGTTATTTTTTAAATAGTAATTTATAGGGCCAGGGATTTAGCTCAGTGGTTTCACCTCCTGCCTCACAAGCACAAGCACCCGAGTTCAATCCCTGGTACCAAAAAAAAAAAAAAAATGAAATTTATAAGCCCCACAAGTACAGGACCCAGAGTTCAATCCCTTACAAAAAAAAAAAAAAAAATGTAATTTATATGTAAATATAAATTTATAAGTAAATATATAAAATCATGGATTCTACTTCTCCATGTAGGGCAGGAAACCTCACACTGACTCTTCAACCAAAATATGTATAAAATCACCTGTGGAAATGTGGGGACTGAGCTAGGACATATTTATGACTTTCTCCATCAGAGTTCATACAAAATCTCATATTTTCCCTTCAAGGTATCTGATGAGAATGAAATTCTCCCACCTAAACTTCAAGCTGCCTTGATACAGATTTTAGAAGAACGAAATGAAATCTTATCTCAGGAGCAGATTTTTTCACAAGGTATGAGACAAGTGGTGCACGGATTTAATTTTAAGACAATAAATATGTATTTAATGACCTGTGCTGTGCTTAAGGATGTACAAATGTAGTATTAGATTGCCTGTATCTTGAAAACTTTATAGAAGTAATTCGGTTTCCTTGCTGATCTTTAGTATGCCAGAGTCTCTTTCATTTCGGGGCCTTTGCACTGCATTTATAGAATGCCATCTCCCTAGATATTCACCTGACTACTGTCCTTTCTTCATATAGGCCCTGCTCACACATCACTTCCTCACCAAATTCCTCCCGAGCGCTCTGTTTAAAGTTGCAACCATTCTAGCACATGCTAACCTCCTCTCCTAGTTTCACCTTGCCCATGGCTCACATCACCTTCTGATGTACTAGAGTGTAAGTTCTGTGAGAATAATGGCTTCATTTTTTTTCTTTGCCTCCTGCATTTTAAATAATATTTATTAGCTACTTAATAAGTATTTGTTGAGTAAATGGGCCATTAGTGTTTACTGGGCACACATTATGCATTTAGCATACATTTTATTTCATCTTTGTAATATCCTTTGAAGTAGGTATTGTTATTTAATCTCCACAGATGAGAAAACTAATGCTATTTATGATGGGGCACAGTTGGGAAGGAGCAGATTTAGAGTAGTAATAAAAAGTTTAGTTTTGGCCATTAAGTTTGAGACACTACTTGGACATCCAATACTTTGCAGACATCCAACTAGAGATGTTAAGTAGGCATTTATATATGTACATTTCGAATTCAGAGGAAAGATTTGGGCCAGCATTACACATTTAGAAACTGCTAGTTTGAAGTTGAGGGACCAGATGAGATGATCTGATAGAAGGTACAGATAGAGAATAACAAAGATTTAAGGGTTGGGCCCTGGATTGATTGAGGATGATATGGTTAGATTTCCAACATGTGGAGGTCGGGAAAAACAGAAGAATGTAGCAAAGGAGACTTAAGAGAAGCAGCTAGAGAAAAATCAGGAGAGGGTCAGGGGCAGAGAATGTAAAACCAGAGGAGTATGGGGAAAAGACATTTGAAAAAAAAACCCAAGGTATAATATCACAGAAGCTGAGTTAAGAAAATATTCCATGAAAGAAAGAGGAAACAGTCATTCCCAAAATTGCAAAGAGGTCAAGTAAAATGAGGATTAAAATTGATCAGTAAAATCTGACATTAGGATGGGTTTAGGGGTCCTGACAATAGCAGGTTTGGTGGAATGGTAAGAAGAACACGAGATTGTAGAAGATTCGTGAGACAACTGCAGGGCCAGGCATACTGGTGCACATCTATGATCCAAGTACCTGGGCTCTGAGGAAGGAGAGTCGGCTTGAGTTTGAGGCCAGCCTGGGCTACTGAACGAGCTCAAGGTCATCCTGAACTACATAGAAAGACTGAAACGAACAAACACAAACCCAGAAAAACAGACAGCTGGAATACCAGGCAGCTGATTATAAATTTTAAGTAGTAATACAACCATTCTGAGCCAAGAATAGCTAAGACATCCTTGAAAATGAATAAACTGAAGTGTTTGTGCTACTACACATCAAGACTTCTGATAAAAACATAGTAATTAAGATAGTTAGGCTTTAGAGAAAATAGAGTGCACACGCACAAGGAAACCAGACGTGTCTGTGTCGTTTGCGTATCAGTGGAAAAAGGATGTCATGCTCAATAAGTGACAGTGACAGCTGGTCTTCCATTTGAAAAGAAATTAATATAGATCTACACATCACACTATACCTAAAATTAATTCTAGTAAATTTAAATACTTAACTGTTAAAATCAAAGCTTTAAAATATTTTTTAAATAGAATTAAGTTTTATGTACTTAAAACAATGACAGCTCTTAAAAATACAGCACAAGAGCACAGGCTGTAAAGGAAAAGATCAATCTTTGTTTTGTTTTGAGATAGGGTCTCTCTATATAGCTCAAGCCAGCCTTGAACTCTTCTATAGGCTAGGCTAGCCTTGAGCTTAAAATCCTCCTGTCTCAGCTTTCCAAGACTATATTAAATCTTTAAAATTTGTTTTCATCAAGGGACACCGTGGAGAAGAAATTAAACAAACAAAAAACTATGACACAGGTGAGGAATTCTTAACAAATATAATAACAAAGGAAATGCTTAGAATTTATTATTTTTTTTCCTGAGGCAAGGTCTTGCTATGTATTGCAGGCTGGTCTTGAACTCACTGTGTAGCCCAGGCTGACCTAACTCACAATGATCTTTTTCCTCAGTTGCCACAGTGCCGGGATTACAGGTGTGCACCACCATGCCAGGCAAATTTTTTTTAAAAAAACTACCAACCATATCAGCTAAGTTAAATCTCTCCGTCTTAAAAAAAAAACTACAAATCAATAAAAAGATGAGCAACCCTAGAAAAAATGAGAGGAAGATATGAACAAACAAGCCTAGAAGGAGAAACATGGGCCTGGAGATGTAGCTCTTTGGAAGACCACATTGCTAGCATGCACAAGGCCCTGGGTTCAGTTCCCAGCACAAAAAAAGAGGAAACATGAAAGATGCAGCAACATATGAAAAGATATAAAACCTCATTAAAATCATTAAAACCATAAAAATGCTATACCATTTTTATACCTATCACATAGGCAAAAATTTAAGTTTGCCAATCTCTAGTGATGAGGATGTATAAATTCATTCAGTCACTTTGGAAAAACGAGTTGGCATTACCTAGTAAAGTTAAAGGTATTAGGTATCCCATAACCTAGCGATTCAGATTTTAGCTGTATACCCTAGAAAATCCATTGCACATGATCACTCAGAAATAAGTACAATAATGCTCATAGGGTCATTTTTTGTGATAACAAAAACTTAAAAACAATCTAAATGTCTATTGGTAGGAAACAGTAACATGAAAATGAATGTTGAAGCTGGGCGTGGTGGCACACGCCTGTAATCCCAGCACTCAGGAGGCTGAGGCAGGAGGATCACTGTGAGTTCGAGACCAGCCTGGGCTACATAGTGAGTTCCAGGTCAGTCTCAACTGCATAGTGAGACCCTGTCTCAAAAAAACAAACAAAAGAAAAGAAAAGAAAAGAAAAAGAAAATGAATGTTGGAGCCAGGGATGTGGCTCAGTGGCACCTCACCTGCCTGGAAGTGCAAGGTCCTGAGTTTGATCTCAGGTACTGGGGGGAAAAAAAAATGAATGCTGCAAACATTGAATGAAACAATAAGTTAAATATGAAGTTTTACATAAATGTTCAAAGACAAACGAACAACACTGTGTTTCACTGTGTTTTAGGGTTAGATACACGTGTAGTGAAACTGTACTGTTAAGCAGGGAATACCAAGTACGAAATTCCAAATGACAGTCACCTTGGAGAGTAGAGGAGTAACGGAGCTTCGGGACAAGTAATGTTCTGTTTCCAAGGGTTCTGTTCATTTCACCCAAATACTCATACATGTAAAAGAATTCATAAAGTGCATACATTAAAATAAAAACAAAGAATAGAAAAGAAACCCACAATTTTAAAAAGAAAAGGAACTTAGAAGAAAATGTGTGTTCTCAGCTGCAGAAAGAGTTGAGAAGTCTTACATAACAAAAACTTAGACTAGAAATCAAACTGTAATCGGGAAGAGACCTTAGAAGTCACCTAGTCAGCTTCCTTCACAACACAGATATGGATAGACCAAGGGAGGTAATGTGAGGGGTCTCCTATCATACACTGTTATGGGAAAACTCTGACTAAACTTAAGTCACTAATTCCCAGTCCAGGGTAGAGACCATGGAAAAGTGCCAGAGATATGCTGAAGGGGGAAAAGTACTGTGGAGAGGGAAGAAAAAGGAGGAGTCTGAGTTGAATCTGAAATTGAAATTTTAGCCTGGGACCTGGAAAGCACATATTATAGTATATGGTATCAAGTCAGTTGTTAACAGTCCAGCATCTCAGTCACTAGGCTTTGACCATTTGAGGCCTGTTTCCTTACCTTTGAAAGAGGAATACCTACCTACCTCATAAGTTTATTAATTATATTTGTAAACACACTGACTGTAGTGCCAGACATGTCTTAGGTACCCAATAAATTCTTATTTTATGGTATAATCATGATGTAATGTGGGATGGAGAAATTAACAGGGAAACTGGACATTTAAGATTGGTAATGACCAACGTACCTCTCTATCTCGGGGTTAGTTAGCTCTTTAGGAGACAGAATGTTGAAGAGAAGTAGTCTGAAGTCCATGCTCAAGAAGATGAACAGTGAAGAGAAAAACAAATGCTTGGTCATAAATAAAGGTAGGAATCAGGCAGTCAGAAGAACACGAAGTGAATGGAGTTGAGAGGAAAGAGGAGTTGAGCACAAATGCAGCATAAAGTTTAAAGAAGGGTAAAAATAGAAAAGCATATTAAATTTGGGGGATTCTCACTAGTGGCCTTGGACAGAGCAGATACAATGAAATCAAAGCTATGTGAGCCAGCCTATAAGGTGTAATAAGAGTATGTGTGGGAAGAAAATGCAGGCCAGGATAACTGTTTTCTTTTTGTAGTTCAGGGGCCATGTAGAAAAACAGAATGAGCATTCCTGGATCTATTTTCAGTCCTTTAATCTGTTGGCTTCTTAGGTCTGACTTTGGTAACCAGAGCCAGTGTTTTCAGATATGCAAAACTTGGAGGATTTTTCTGTTTTACTTCTTGCTTTCATTTTGCAGCAGATGTTACACTCAATTCTCTGGTGTCTGAAGCATTTGTGAGGTTTTTTGTGGAGCTGGTGGGACATTATTCTTTGAACGTGACTGTCACGGAGCGAGGGGAGCGTGTGTTCCAAAGGGAGCCATTTCGTAAGTCCCATACCTCGCGAAGTATCCGCCACTTCCTTGATCTTTTCATGGAGACTCAGATGTTTGCAGGATTCATCCAGGACCGGGAGCTTCGGAAAAGTGGAGTTAAAGGTTAGTTTCTATATAGAGTTCTCCCTCTTTACTTGATGAGTATTTGAAAGGTTTGAATATAATATAAAAACAAAACAAAACAAACAAAATCACTGTAAAGTTACAAGGGCTCAAAAATCTAATGGGAATTATTTATTTTACAATAATGTTTTAGCCATAGAAATAACATACTGGTAGTGAGAGCAGAATTTTATTTAGGTTCCATTCTTGTGTGTGCAACAGTTTCACCAACATGAATTTTTTTCCTAGGTTTGTTTGAGGTTCGGGCTCTCCAATATTTGGAAACAATTCCCGAGTCTGAGCCTAGTGGGGTGAATAGAATTTTGCGGAGTCTTGGTGAGTTGCTGTGTTCTCCTGTTAGTTAAATGTGGCTGAAAAAAAGCTTTGCAGTAACCAAGCTTCATCTCAAAGGCTTTGTAATCAGACAGCACTGTAAACTCAAGTAGGCTGACCAGAAATCATGATCTTGTTCCACAACATTTTCGAGAAAAAAATCTGAGATTAGGGTTCTCCATCAGCATGGTTATGGAGAATGCTTCCCTGAGATTAAGCTCTTGGAAATATCACTTTATGGTATATTTCCATTAATAATCATACCATTTTTTTCTTTTCTAGGTTTATAAGCCTTGGAGAACCTCATAAAAACCCTTTTCCCAGAAAAAGGCACTTATGACAAACAAATTTTGTGTATAATTTTAGGGTGTTTGTGGACTCACAATCCAAGCCTACCTATGAACTCGATTAGAAACAGCTGTTTATAGGAACTGAGACAAAAGAAGATATCGTACAAGTCTTTAATTTTGCAGTTGTTTATAACCTTTCAGTTATGCTTATTCAGTATGATAGAACAGTATTATGGATAGTGCAAAATAACGGAGAACCTATATTCTATGGTATTTATGCTAGTCTTTAAAATATATGCCCCAGGGCCGGGGATGTAGCTCAGTGGCATTGTGCCTGCCTGGCAAGCACAAGGTCCTGAGTTGGATTCCTGGTACCAAAAAAAAATCATAATATATAAAATATATGCCCCTAAATAAGTCCTGTCTTTAACTGTCTGAGAAACCATGGACAAACTATGCTTCTTGTACTCCATAAATTCTCAGGGAATAAGTTAGGTCATTTTAACCTGTAATCAGGATTGAAAGCCACTGGATTAGATTATACTGGCTTATTTTCTACCTCTACAATTAAGACACTTGGGTGTTTTGGTGGCTGAACACATTAGCTGCTACCTTTGATATGTCAGCTTTTCATTATGGTAAGAAAATACCTGAGATAATCAATTTAAAAAGAGAAAAAAAGCTGGGTATAGTGGTGCATACTTGTAATCTCAGCATCCTGGGAGGCTGAGGCAGAAAGATTGTAAGTTAAAGCCCAGTCTGGGCAAATTAGCAAGACCCTGTCTCAAAAACTAAAAATGGGCCAAGGATGTAGTTCAGTGCAAAGGCCCTGCGCTCAACACCGCTACTACCAGTGACCCCCACCCCCCAAAAGAGGAAAGGTTTCTTTTGGCTCCTAATTTTAGAAGTTTTGTTCCATAGCTGTTTAGACCCCATTGCTTGTGAGCACATGGTGAGGCGAGGGGGTTTCTCATGGCAGGACTGTGTGGGAGAGGAAGCCACTCACTTTATAGCAGCTCAGAAGCAAAGAGACAGGAAGACCAGCATCACAGAATTCCTGGCGGGGGTACAACCCCTCAACACAGCCAGTTTCTTGCAGTAGGCCCCACCTCTTAGAGGTTCCAAACTCCCCAGTAGTGCCAGGCTAAAGACCAAACCCAGGGCCGGGGATTTAGCTCAGTGGTTCCACTGCCTGCCTCACAAGTGCAAGGTCCCGATTTCATTTCCTGGTACCAAAAAACAAACAAAAAAGACCAAACCTTTCACACATGTGTCTTTGGGGAATTTGAAATGGTAGCTTAGCTCTTGGGCTGTTCTAAATGACTAGGTGTTAACCCTTGCCTCAAATAATATACAGTTAATGAAAATAAATGGAGAATTCACTCTACCTTTTTCTCCTTTTAGGAAGTAAAATGAAATTTCTGCAGAAGAAATGAATCTTTGTCTCCATCTTAAATAGAGTGAAAAGTGCCAAAGAAAATGTTCCTCTGATGCCTTTGAAGTATTCTGCAAAATTTTCTTAATTTTAAAAGGTTAAGGAGCAGGTTAAGTTCTCAGAGAAAGACTTCCTGTTTCTGCTGCACAATCACTGGAGAATTATTGGATGTAACTGGAACTGATGCTCTCTACTGCCGCCAACGTGTTTTTTACAGTGGCCTTTTCTGTTTGCATGGGCTCATTATCTGTGTTATATGTTTAGTCTGTGAAGGCCATTGTCTTTACAAGGAAAAGACTTATTGATTTTTTTTAAAAAATAAAAAGCTTAAAGATAAGTCTAACAAAAGAAAGGCTGAGTTTGGTATACTACAGATACGATTGAAATGGCAAAGATTAGCCTTACACACATAATTCTCCTCACTGAAATACCGTGGCAGCTTTAAACCCATGGGTTTAAAGCTGGACGCTCTGGCACATACCTGTAGTTCCAGCTACTTGGGAGGCTGAATTAGAAGAATCGTGAATTCTGAATCCAGCCTGGGCAACAGAGTGAGACCTTGTCTCAAAATAAAGTAAAAGTGGGGCCAGGGATTTAGCTCAGTGGTGCTGCTGCCTGCCTTGCAAGTGCAGGGTGTCAAGTTTGATCCCTGGTACCACAAAAAAAAAAAAAAAGTAAAAATGTTGGTAAAGCCATGGATTGTTTGAGGTTGCAAACTGAAACATATTCACCATTTACCGTTTTTAATCTAATATTCTATCAAGGGGAACCTCTCTGTGGAAGCCCTTGTTATCCAATATTTATAAAAGTAGACATGTTGCAGCTCCCTCACAATGTATGACACTTGAGAAGCTTATCCCTAACATCAGCATTACATGTTGCATATTACAGCTAATACGAAAATATCAAGGGCACGGGAACTACCTTTTTTGTATGTGTCCACCATTTGGCATGCATTGTGGTTAGGATATGTATATATGTCATTTTATTCAAGCCTTAATTCAACTCTATGAGATAGATATGTGAATCTCCATTTTACTGATGAAGAAACTATTTTGAGACTAACTTAGTTATATAATTCAGACAGAAGTAAAGCAAAGACTTATTTTATGAACACAAAAATTTGTTTGGAGGTAAAAATATAAGCTCTGTAGGAGTGCAGCTATTTGAAAGATTTTCTGTTAAGTGTTCCAGAGCCACCTCTCAGCTTTGAGGATAAAGGACTTTAAATTATAGGCACCTACATGAGGCCTCCCCACCTTTTGGGTGTGCTGGGAGTAGAATCCAGGTTTTCACACATGCAAGGCAAATGCTATACCACACAATTACACTCCCAGTGTGAGGCTTTTCTTGTACTGAGGACCGGACCCACGGCCTTTGCACTGAGCTACATCACCAGAACCTTTTTATTCTGAGGGTCTCACTAAATTGCCCAGCCTGGGCTCCAACTTTTGATCCTCCTGCCTCAGCCTCCCAGATTGCTAGGATTACAGGTGTGCATCACCTCACCCAACCCACTGCGAGATTACCACTGTTGGGCTTTTGCTCTAATTAAATGTGACTCAGAATATGAACATTTCCTGAGCATATACCACATAATCACCCAGATCTTTAATATCTAAAGCAGCAGTAGTGATAAAGAGGGGTTTGTCAGTGATGGGATATTCGTTGATAAATGTTATAGGAAATGTCAGCTTTAGCCTTTGTTCATGGTTTTAACTGGCATAGAAAATACTCAAATTTATAAAACCTTGTAAATTGTATTGATAACACAAATTTTTTACTTGTATAGTATTGTCAATAAAAGCCCATCGAAGGTGCTTAAATGAATCTGAAGCAGACACCAATTAAAACTGGTGCTGTGTAAAATAGTTCCTACAGATGTGGGTCCGGGGACCAGAACTGGGTCTATGTCTTTTAAAACGTTGATTAAGCAGCTTACCCCAGTGGGGCATCTGTCTGTCAAACATCTCCCCCATTTGGTCTCTTACTCCAGCCTTGACGGAACAATTAGTGATTCAGGGTTTATAAAATCGGACAGGAGGGTTGACTGAGGGATCCTGGCTATCCCTCTGCAGGGGTGAGAGTGTGATATATCATTCTCTCTGCGCAAAGCCGCTTCCTTAAGTCTGTTGTGTTTTGATTTTTGTAAAGTATTGTGGATTCTGAATATGTTTGAAAAAGAACTGTTCAGAAATTGTATAAAATGTTTAGATAATAAAGTCATGAAAATCTCAGATCTCGGAAAATTTGAAATAAATTACTTAAGATGTAAAGATCATTTTTGTCACTTAAATGTATATAAAGGTAGCACATTTACCTACTGGTAAATCAGAAAGATAATCTGAATCCATCTTGAACAGGTTTAGTAACTGGCCAGCATTTCCAGGCTCTCAGCAGAAAGCCTAGATCGACTGGACACGGTCAGAGTATTCCCGACGATTTTTTTTTCTTAGAAGAGAAGCTACTTAGTCTGGGAGCCAGTAGAAAACGTTGCACTGCAGCAGCTCGAATGGTTGGGAGGCAAGGAAGAGAGCTAATACTAACTATTAAGTCCTAAAGGCAAAGTCACTGACTTTTCTAGACTCCCTAAAAACAAAATGTCAAGGCTTTTAAAGGTGAGGGGTGGTGCAGACAGTTATCAATCTCACCTTTCAGGGCGGTTCGGATTCTTTTTGTTAGGAAGACGTTAAAGCTTCGCAATTCTAATGTAATTTTTTACCCAGGAGAAAAATTTTCAGGGCACTGAGTGAGTGTAATAGGGATACAGCAAGAAAATGAGCGAAACTTGGCACAATAGGGGAGAGGAGGCACTGGTGGAGGAAGAGGTGGCTATGTAGCTCATTCTGGCCTTGAATTCACTAATACATTCCAGGCTGGCCTCGAACTCGCGGCGATCCTCCTGCCTGAGCGTCCCAAGTGCTGCGATTACAGATGTGCCCCCACCCTGCCCGGCTATTCCTGACATATCTTGCAAACAGTTTTCTTCCCCAAGCTTAAAAAAGGCCTTTCCCAGGTGTCCATCTATTGGCGAAGACGGGAAAATCCCAGTTACACCTGATTGCCGCCATACGCAGGGCACACACACACACACAAAAAAAAAGGGCTTGGCCAAAGAAAGGAAGATGGGGCCTTGGGCGGACTCTGGGACTTCGCGTCAGCCCAAAACAAAACCGGTGATTCCTAGCCGCCAAGACAGCGCTACAAACTAGTTGCTACAAACTAGCAACTGAGCATGCGCCAAAGTCGCCGCGCGACGTGATACGTCACTGTCGGGCGCCGACGTGTTTTAAGGGGGACGGATCCTGTTCAGACTCTAAACGCAGACGGACAACGTTCTGTACCATGGCGGGCACGGGCTTGGTGGCCGGAGAGGTGGTAGTGGATGCGCTTCCGTACTTTGATCAAGGCTATGAGGCGCCAGGAGTGCGGGAAGCGGTGAGTGCCGGGTGTCTGTAGCTGACAGTGCTCGATCCTCCGGTACCGAGGAGGCACCGTTCGGTATTTGCTGCCGCTGCCACGGCCCTTTGTCTCGTTCTTAGGCTGCGGCGCTGGTAGAGGAGGAAACTCGCAGATACCGACCCACCAAGAACTACCTGAGCTATTTAACGGCCCCAGATTATTCTGCTTTCGAAGTAAGCGTACGAACGAGGATTCCGGTGAACCTTTATTTTAGATTGAGGGCTTCAGCTACGTAGAAGTGAGGTGTGCCTGGGGGGGGGGTCCTCCTGCC